GACACTCAATAGGACACAATAGAGAAAAGAGATTCATATAGCCGATCCCAGTTAGTGGAATAAATGCTTGTTGTTGTTATTGTTGTAGCTTTCTTTTGAACAAGCTGCAGATATCCCTTTTTGAGTTTATTTGTTAATATTACAACTTTGTTGAGACCATTAGAGCATAAAAATCAATTCGTTTAAACACCTGCAAAAAATACTTTGACACAGAGGACCAACAAAATTGTGCAAAAATACTAATCATTAAAAATTTCAACTTGTGGAGAAGTACAAATTAAAACAAAGTTTCATTTTTGTGCATCTTCTGAAGGAAAATTCAAGTGCAGATTGGCTAATTCATTTCAGATATCACACTTAAATTGGTATGATATTTGTACTTCATTGCAATTGATGTGCTTTTATCCAATATTACGAATAAAAATTAGATTACATTGTTCATTGTATACTCAAAATTTGAAACTTTTGTCTTCATTTGTTTTTCCATGAATAATCTTACATTTTTTAAAGTCGTCTCAGGGAAACATTGACTTATGTTAAGGTTGATAATAGTGATTACATTCCAAAACATGATTTCATTCATTGCACTCCCATATTAATTATCAAAATTATTTTCACAAAGAATTAAAAAAAAGAATCTAAGCATCCCGACAATGCTTTGTTTTGAGAAAAAAGACCTCTGGTTTGCTTCATAATCAATCTTGGGAGTTAAAATCTTATTAATATAAATGTCTCCATGTTATTTAAAATTATATTTCCAGAATATTTGGTGCCTCAAATCACAATACATCTTTAGTGTTAAGGAAAGGAATTACAATCTTCAACAACCTGATCTCATATTCTGGTGGAAGTAGAAGTTTCAAGATACCTTTTGATGAACATTCCTTGCTCTTGAGCTTCGTTTTCACCCACAAATTCAAATTTTTTTTTTCTAATTTGGCTCTCTTCTGAAATATTGGATGTAAATAATTCTATTTATCACTCATCATCCTGGCTTTCCTTTGGCGGTTTCACCAATATCATGGGCTTTGAGGATAGATCTTCCAACAGCTAAAAACTCCCCTTTGAAAGATCTAAATATTTACTTTATCAATTTCTTTATTCTGATTTATGTCACTCTTAAATATGACAAATTAAGTAGGTCTAGCAATATGGAGTGAAATCTTTGTTAACTTGATGAATTGTGCAGTTCCCCCTCAGTGTCAACTTATTTCATAATGATGGCCAAAAAATCATTCAACAAACTTTTATTTAGATCATTTTCCAAAAAAATTCTATTCCGATCTTGCTCCTTTCATAATCAAGGTTGTACATATTTGAAAATTGTTGGATCAAAAAGGAAGGTTGTAAGGAATTGATTAAATTATAGAAAAAATTACATACCGCCCAATTCCCATGTATTGACACACCCAACACCTAAACTTCAATTTAAAATTTATTACACTTTCACCTATGCATGAAGAAGTAAATATAGCCTTTTAAAGTTAAAATAGTGGTATTTTTTATCTAAAATGACAGATTTCGGTTATAAATGTAAAAAGAAAAATTTAGATGTTTGGATATGTAAATTCATAAGAATTAGGTGGTATGTATGTAAATGCCCCTAACTTATAATGGAACATTTTCTATACCCATAATAAGAATTTCAATGAGAAGACTCAACTCTAGAAAAGACATCATATCCTGGCTGAGAAAGACAAAATTAATTTTGGATGACTTAATAGCACCGAGCTTGAGGCTGAATCGGGTCTGTGTCTCCTGAAGTTATGGAAGATTATGAAAAAGAGAATTTTTGGCTCAAAAATAAATTGGAGAAAATTTGTTAGCACGAGTGGCCTAAAGTAAAATAATAGTGGAAAAATGATCACGGCAACTCTTTCTTTCATAGAACTAGCTTTTATACGAGAAATAATTTATAAATCAGATAAAACTGAAAACTCGGGTTATTTCTAATCAAGTTGAAAATAGGGTTATTTCTAATAAAGAGAAAACTTAGCTCTAACTTATTTACTGAAGTAACAGCAAACAAATTTAAAAGCCTTCTACTTTCAATTATCCATATCTCTCAAGATTCTTTTGTTAAAGGTAAAGGTACTTTATATTGTATTGTGAAAACTCACAAATAAATACATTCTATCATCAAAAAGACAAACAGATTTTCAACTTCAAAATGATTTTGAAAAAATATTTGATAGTTGTAAATGGAACTTCCCTTACAATACCCTATTAAAATGATTTTTTCCTCCTAAATTTATCTCTTAGTATGTCTTCTAAACTCATTCAATCTCTCAAATCATTGTTAAGAGCTTGCAGGGTCTTAAACAATTATTATTATCCTTACTAATGATGTACTTAATAACATTTTACAAGGTACTAATAAATGGATCGAAGGCTACCATTACAAATAGCGAGAATCGGCTATAAATAGTTTTCAATACAATGATGATACTCTATTTTTTATTTTCATTTTTTGTTTTCTTTTTCTAATCAAGCTCTTATTCTTAAAACATTTTATCTATGTATATTTGAAGAAATTAGTGGCTTAATATTGATAACTCTAAAAAGTTAAATATTCAGCTTGGAAAAAGAAAAAAAAATATTTGTGTGCTCTTCTTGCCAAGAACTTGGGTTTTGTTCTTTAACACAATTCTTCAAGTATTGGGGTACTACTCTAGGTTCCAAAAGCCAACAAAGGACCTTATGGACCATCTCATGAACAAAAGACAATCAAAACTCTCTTCCTGAAAAAGAAAAAAAAAACTTTTCCATTGAGGGTGTTGAGTTGTGCCAATCAACTATATGCTCTCTTCCATTCCTCCCTATTATTTCTCTATATTTTGGATTCCAACTTAGTCTGTCTAGAAAAATGATGGGTCGCATTTATTTTGAAAAGAGAGTGATGAAGTGAGTGGTCTCAATCTCAACAAGTGATAAAAATTTGTAGGCCAAAAGAGGTAGCCTTGGCATTAAAGGCCTGTGTACAGTCAACTTGTCCCTCCAAGATAAAAGGAATTGGTAGTCAATTCTTCTTAATAGAAGATTTATATTGGAAATATTGTCCCTAGTAAATATTTTAGCAACCTTGCTCCTTCGGATTTCTGGTTAAATAACACCAATCAATGCTCCAACCTTATTAAAGCATCATTGAAAACTGCTTACCCTTTTTTTCTGAATTTTTTGTTTTTGGAAAATTCAAAATTGCATGAATACCAACCTTCAAAAAGCCATTGGAACAATAATTCCTCTCTCATTTGTCAATTTAATGATCTCCTTCTCTACGGACCATTTAGCAATATTGTGGCTTTATCCATTTACTTTCACCAATTGCGGGCGAGAGTTCTAAAAAGCGGCCATGCTTTTAACCTTCAAAATAAGGAATTATTTAATCTACTATCAACGGGCTGAGATTAGAACTTGATCATGATATTATGCATTGGCCTTCCCTCTCGTGTGGTGTTTTCTT